GGCATTTTCTTTTGATTTTGAATCGTATATTGAAACTGCGCAAGAATATAAATTTAATGACAGGTTTTTCTGACGGACGATTAAGAAAATCTGTTAAATCACATAGACATGTTATCAGTAAAAAAAAGTAAATAATAATTAATATTAAAGTCGCTGTTCGATCAACCAACAATTTATTCAATATTAAAATTACGATGTAAATTAGCAGAAGTACTCTTTGTTATTAGAAAAACTGAGGATATGAATGCGCGTGAAATATATTGAGGGTGTGGGTGCGAGCGGTAGTACTAAACGAATACAATATCCTCTCCCAATTTTTCTTATTAAGTAACAAAACATTGTTCTTTTTATTGTCATTGTAGTTATCTTGAAATGCAAAAAAGTGATCTTTTTTCGGCGCTTTATGTAATCAAATTAAACTTCCTATTTAGGACTAAAAAAACGAAGATTTTAGATACTTGTGAACATTTCATAATATTTTATACATTAGATAACCGCAACAACACATAACAAATTTGGTATGTGTAGCAAGAAGGTAAAGAAATGTTATGCTTTGCACTGCATTAAAATAATTGTAGAGATAGAACCTATCATATTAGCTGAGGTAAGATTTTGATAAATTATTTTTTGTCTTTTCATATGAGATTATATTATGAATAAAAACATGTATTTTTTTTGTTGAGAAGAAAAATTAAATTCTCAATTATAATTGAAAGAAAAAAACAATCTTATTAAAAGTTATAATTCATCTCGACATTGATTCTGTCGTGATGATGACATTGTATATCGCATAGTTCGATGATGATATCTTCGTCGTTTATCATTTCCATTTGATAATGTTGAACGATTATTAGAACCTGAACGCATTGCATTTAATTTCCATACTAAACTAAATCGACTACTTAAACTTGTCCGATCACTCCAACATGCACTACTTTTTCTACTACGAGCTGAAGAAAGATTATCATCAATAAATGGTATTGGATCAGTATCATCACTACCAAGACGTTGTTTTATAGCTGTTTCAATATTGCTATTAAAATAAGATGTATGATCTTTTGGACAATCATAACATGATGTTGTTGTTGTTGGTAGTGGCAGTAAATTAGCTGTTACAGTTGAATTTGATGCTTGTGAACTATCAGTTTCATTATATAAAGTCGAAGAAATTCGTTCATCTTCTTCAACAGCTAATTGTAACGGTGTTGATATTAAAAGACTAAATTAATAAATTTTCATAATAAAACAAACTATTTCATTTCAAATTTACCTAGTTCTATCAGGTATTTGTTTTTTATCAGATATATCCTTTCGTTTATTTTGATGAATTTGATTTGTTGAATAAAATCTAAATTATATATATATGTTACTATAAATTTGATGATCATTGTAAAAATAATACTGACGTTTTTTTTGCTAAAATAAGAATTAATATAAGAAGAACAACAATAAGTATAAATAAAGCAAGTAAACAAACACCATATAACCATATTGGATCTAATGTACTCTGTTCTAATATATTTGATGGTAGATGAATCTAAAATAAAGTAAAAAAATTTTGCTAATGATAATTATTATTTAGTTTAATTATACATGATGTTTTATATCTTGATAAATCTCTTGTTCATAACGTTTAAGTGCAAGTAAAAATTGATCATTTGTAAGAGCTATTGATTGACGATAAGGATCTTTAATAAATATTGCTACATATAAACGATGATCCTCTAATTCTTCTTCATAACTTTGAACAATAACATGATCGGCTCTATTTTTAAAATAATTTAAATAAATAAATAAATAAGAAAAGAAATATATTTATTATATATACCTAATTGAATCTATATCTTTACTTAAACAATTTGATTCATAGTTTAAACAATATTGACGAATTATTTTTGCTATACTATGACGTAAATTACGATAAATTATTTTTTCAAAATTTTCAATTGTCGTATTTTCAATTATCAATGTTACACTACCACGTAGTGCATATGGCCAAAAATGATTTATTCTCGTGTTATTCATCGATGAAGATATATAATCAAATATGTTAGACTAAATATGTACATATATAAAAACTTATTATATCATGTAACTATTAAGCACTCACGCATGAATCATTGCACGTCTCGTTGTTGTTGTTATTATTATTAATATTACTGCATAAGTTTATATTTGTTATTAAACAATGATCTAGAAAAAATAAAATAATAATTATTTATTTAATTTTGATATTTTTTTTTTATTTATTACGTGAATTTTTATTTTGAATCGATGAAATTTGAGTTTTATATCGTAATTGTATTGGATTTTTTGTTAATGATTGTAATTCTATTTTAATATTAAGACTTTTAATTGAAAAACGTAAACCAATAAGAGATGATACTTTATTTGTTATTATTGAAGATGAATTCAATAGAAAATAACCATTATTATGAACGCCTGAAAATAATAACAAGAAAAACATAAGTTTAAATATATTTAAAATGTTTGTTAAATGAGCCATAAATCGACTACATTAGACATATATTCACTACTCTTAACTGTCTCGACATATATAGACAAAAAGAGTATAATTATCGTTCTTTCTGTTTCTTGTACAACTGATGAGAGGAGAAGTGAGAACACTGACACGTTCTTTTTATTACTATAAAGTAACACGAAGCATAATGACAAGAGAAAAAGAGAAGGAAAGAGAGGAAGAGAAAGACAGAGACAGAGACAGAGAGAGAGAAGGAGAAATCGCTTATCTTAATACTTCTAATAAGAATACATGAAATATCGCCATTAGCTTAACGTATTCAAACAAAAGAAAACTAGAAAGTGCCGCTTATGGGGAAACGCCTTTTTTTGTCTTTTTTTTTTAACCAACTTTGAGAAAAGATCAAATAAAAAGCCTTCAATAAATATAAACAATATAAACTCTATATTGTCCTTCATTGATATAACAAAGAGAATTATTGGCATTTATATTATGATCAATTTAATTGATAATAATCAGCTTCTTAATCCTTCAATACTCATTATACTAAAGTACTTTTATTTTTATCTGATCATCTATATTTGATATAACCATTATTGACGTTGAATCAACTCATAGAAGATGTAATAAATACTTGCTTATATCTCAAGTACAATTCTATAATGAAAAAAAAAGTAAAAAAAAGAATGCCTAGAGATAAATATATCGGCTGTATGTTGAAGTTCATATATCAAGAGAAAGAGAGAGACGGTAATCAAATAAAGAAGCAATTTACTTTAATATGAGAAAGATCGAAGTTATTAAACTCAGTCAAAACATATAATGATATAAATAGATCAATTAGTTTGAATAATAATAGTCATATACAATTTACCGATAGAATAAATGTATTTAATATATTTACATCAAACATATATTAAAAATTTTCTTTTTTTTTTATTTTTACCTCAAACCTATACGATAAGCTTTATCTGACCTTTAGTTTAGGCTTATTATAATACTTTGTCGCTATCCTTCTTTTTTGACATCGACAAGGTTCATCTTTGAGCATATGTTTACTTATCATACGTTATCACTTATGAGAAATCGAACGATATATGTCATGATGAATTTTAATAAATGTCACTTACTTAAATCATATAAACGAATATATGTACCATTATCTGCTTTCATTATAATAAAATCAATTGAATCAAAAACTGTTGATTGTATATGAATATTATAAAAAGCAAAATTACTTGTTCCAATTAAACCTGATGTTTTATTTAAAATAGTTTGTTGATAAAAATTTCTCTTTTGTTGTTCATACAAAATAAGAATAAAATCGAAATTTCGTATATTATAACGTACATCAAAATTTGAACTAGGTATATATATAAATGAATTCGTTTTTGAAAGATTTACATTTGCTGTTGTTTGCAGTGAAAGATTTTTGTGTAAAGAATATAATTTAGCTAGAAATACAGATTTTTCATTTTGTCCTTGAATAGACCATTGAAAATTCTATAAAATAAAAGAAAATCTAAGAATGAAATAAATAAAAATTTTCATTACCGTTTGATTTTTTTTATATGAAATATAATGAAAATCTCGATTATTAAAATAAGATTTTGATATTTTATATAGATTAAGACGAAATAAGCGTTTCGAATTATGAATTGGTAATGATAATGATGTATAAATAATTTTAAATGAACTTTTTGAAGATAATATTACATGGCAAAACCGAGTTAATGATATTCTTCCTAATGAATAACTTTTCGTTGTATTCATATCTAAATATTTTATTTCTATAATTTTTTATAATCCTTTTTATAAAATTTTACCTTGAATAATAAATAATTTAGCTGGTGTATTTCCATCAAGATTTTCAACATCAATAATAACCATCGATGTATCATTCAATGTAATCAACCATTCAATATGAACATAAGAATCGAGTGTATTCGATGGTGTTAAAGTCATATTATTCTCTTCGAAACTGACTTCATTAATCGTTGTAACTATCAAAAACAATATCATATTAAACAAAAATCAATGATCTAAGTAAATTTTTCTTATAAATATCTACTACTTATTATACAAGTTTATTCGTTCTAATGAAAACAGAATCAATTATGTAATCGGTCGATTTCTAACAGGAAAGGTATTACATCATAATGTAAATATATTTACTTTTCTTAAATTTGTCAATTTGAATATTATATTGAACTAATATCCAGATAAATTCAGGTTCAATTGATAATATACATGATCCAATATGATGATAGATAAACGGAAATTGTTCCGTAGAACATATTTCAGATGTTTTAAATGAATCTTTCACATGAAAACATATACGTCGATTTTCAAATGCTTGTAACGATAGAAATTTTATCTGAATACATTCATCATCTAATGCTTCAATATGCCAAGTATATGCCTATTCAAATAAATATAAGTATATATATAGAAATTCATTCAAAAAATTACTTGTGTTAGATTATGATAAATATCATTTGTTGGTAAACTAATTAATCGATAGGGAAATAATCTATTATCATCTAAAATTTGTACATAAGCATTTGGTGTAATAGTTGACCCTAGAGAAAAGAAAAAGAATTAAAATAATTTTTATTTTCAATAAATATTCTTTACATCCAATTGTTTCAGAATAAAATAAACGAAAATTGGAACTATCTAATGAAAATTGACTTGAATAAAATCGAATCCATATTTGACTATCATTTGCAATAAACCAAGTACCGGGTAATGTATCTGAAATAGAAATATTTTTTATTCTAATAGAAAACTATTTATATATATTTAACCTGATATATGAAAAATTTGATTTTGATGAGGATTATGAAAAAGACCAATTTCAATATAGTTTTCTTTATTATCCCAATTAATATGATCAAAACGTAAGAAAATATTTTGTCCATCATCAACTTCAATTAATATTAAACAATCAAAAATAGTTGTAATCTCATAATTAAATTCAATTGTTCCATTATGTGAAGAATATGTTTTTCCACATGGTAAATTTTGTAAATCATTATTTATTTCTATCGTTTTATTTAATACTAAAATTAAAATAATTATTAGAGGAAAAATTACATATATATAGATACTTTGATATGCTAATTTAAAACCACGATATTGATAATCATCATTGGAATGTTTTGTTCGGAGTATTATTTTTGTTTCATTTATACTTTGGACTCGAAATATTTCTGGACTTGTTAAAGTATAAATTATTTCTCCTAAATAAGAAAGTTATTATTCGAATCTGAATTATATACTTAATACGTTTGATTTCTTTATAAATTATGAGATTATTTTATTTATAGATTATCTTGATGATAAATTATACTAACCAATTGTAAGTCGTTCTTACTCCTAATGAAGACTTATTCATACTTAATAGCCATATTGAATATTGTGATGTGTAGATAACCCATGTTTTCGATTGCGCCGCAATTGCGCGTAACTACGATCGCACTGTGACCCCTAATTGCGAAAAATTGTAGCGCAGTTACGATGGAAATTTCGCAGTTACGCGCAATTGCAATGCATAACGACCGCTGCGCGCAACTGCGACGCAATCGTTAAAAAATAGGCAACATGGGAAAGTTCGTATCATGTAAGTATTTTTGCTCCACATGAGGGTGTGGGTGGATCGCTACCTCTTTTACACCCACACCCTCGTTTAACTTCATCTCAGTGTATATAAATATATTTTAGAATGAAAAACTAAAAATCCATATATCAAATTAATTATACTTGTCATCTCATTAGATTTGTGTTTGTTTGTTTTTTCAATACAAACATGTCAAAAATGATATTCTTAACTAAGGACATATGATTAGACAAAATATATATCTGTTTACCAGTAATAACTTGTAAATAATCCTGATCATAATCAAGATGAATATCAATAAGATTAATTTCAATTTCATTTGAATAATTCATTTGAATATTCCATGTATATTCAATATTTGTTCTTAAAAATTTTGGATAATTATTCGAATAAATAATTCCTTCATTATCATAT